TAACTATCTGGAATGTCTCCTTTTATCATTATGTTGAATAGATTTATCAGGTGATATACTATTTTTTCTTCTAATTTCTTATATAATGTTACAGGAAAGCCATCATAGTCAGTAAGTTTTCTTTTTTTAATTTTGTTTGACACCCGCCTCTGTTATTTGGGCTTCTAGGACTGCCTTAAATTCTCTCTAATTTGTTGATTTGGCAGGGAGTCAATTAACCGTACAAATTTGGCCTTGGCAACAATGCCTGAGGTTTATATTTTAATACAGAATTTATAAAATTTCATACTTATTTCTTCAGACAATCCCCCCCTTTCTTTGATGGTATTATACTCTTTGCTTTCTTTTTTGTCAGTAATCTTGAATTATTGTTGCCATATTCATAATGCTGTTATTTTAAGATAAACCATGGCAGTTTGTATCCTATACATTTCCAGAGCTCTGAGTTATGCTTTCTTTTTTTAGTAAGAGATGCTAAAAGCAAGAGGTGCTAAAAGCAAGAACAAATCCTGCCAGCCTGATCTTATCTCATTTTTTGATAAAGTATCCCATTATATTCTGATTAGCAAGTGAACTAGATGTGGGCTGGATAGAATAAGTGTCAGGTGGGATATGCAGTTGGTTACAGAACCGTACTCAGAGAGTGGTTATTAATGGCTCCTTCTCAAACTGGGAAAAGGCAACAAGTGGGGTACCGTAAGGCTCAGTCCTGGGCCCAGTGCTCTTCAGCATATTTAATAATGACTTGGATGAGAGGGGAGTACAGGGAGTACCTGTCAGATTTGCAGATTACACGAAACTGAGTGAAATCGTGAATACCTTGAAAAACAGGAATAAAATTCAAAAAGATCTGATAGGCATGAACACTGGACTGAAAACAGCAGAGTGAAATTTAACACAGGGATAAGTGCAAAGTTCTGCACCTGGGGCGGGCGGGGGGAACAAATCCAGAGTTACTAAATGGGGAATACTTAGTATTCAGTAATATGAGTGAGAAGGATCTTGGAATTGTTGTAGATCAAAAGCTGAATGTAAGTCAGTAATCTTTCAGGGTCCGGGTTGTACATGGATCCCTTCAAAAGTGGAGGCAAGGGCACCAGGACCCAGCCAACAGTGCAGAGGGTCAAGCCCAAACTCACACATGGACCAACTAGCCAGGATAGGAGCACAGCAGCAGAAACTGGAACATTGGGCCTGGAACCAGGCGGCAGCAGTGCAAGCACTGAGCCAAAGTAGGAAGCAGGAATGCAGGGTCAGGAATACCGGAGTTCAGAGCAGGAACAGAAACCAGAGCAGGAGCACCAGGGCTCAAGAGCATGGGAGTACAGGAGCAGAAACATGCCAAAGACCTATGTTGCTGAGTTAGCCACTGGGAGGGAGAGTCCTTCCTTAGGATGGACTCTCCCTCTTAAGGCCTTCCCTCAGGACTCCCAGGTGGCCCTTGTGAGAGTCCCAGCAGCTGCTGCCCCGGCAGGGCTTGATCTACAAATGCTGGGCTATTCCTAGAACCAAGCTGGCCTGAATCCTGCAGCTGCTGGGGCATTGGTGCAGGGGAAGCCCTGCCACCACCCAGATCCTGACATGATGTGATATTTTAAAGAAAAGGCAAGGGTTATTTTAGGCTGCATTGACAGAAGTATAGTCTCCAAATCACATGAGATGCTAGCTCCCCTCTATTCAGCGTTGGTTAGGCCTTATCTAGAGCAAGGGTCGCCAAAGTACAGTATGACCTTTTTATCCAGCCTGTCTGTGCGGTTGGGAGTGTGCATGGGTGGGTAGGCGTGCGTGCATGCGTGCATGCGTGTGGGTGACCTGGAGTGCATGTGGGCATGTGGGCAGGAGCATGGGCATGCTGGTGGGCAGGTGGGGGTACATATGTGAATATGCACATGTTCCTTCGGCCCTTGAAAATATTGCAAATATATTATGTGGCCCTCCATGTGAAAAGTTTGGAGGCCCCTAATCTAGAGTACTGTGTCCAGTTCTGGGCACCACACTTTGAGAAGGATACCAACAAACTGGAGGAAGTTCAGAGTAGGTCAATAAGGATGATTAGGGGACAGGAAACCAAGTCCTAGGAGGAAAGAGGGAAGGACCTGGGCATGTTGAGAAAAGACTGTGATGGGACTTTTCAAGTACAGTGGTGCCTCGCTTAACAGGCTCCCCATTTAACGACGAATCCGCATAGCAACGAATTTTTTGCGATCGCTTTTGTGACCGCATTGCGATGGTTTGGAATAGGAAAAAATTGCTTTGCGATGATCGGTACCCTGTTTCGCATACCAATCATCGCATAGCGATGATTTTCCAACAGCTGATCGGCGGTTCCAAAATGGCCACCGGGTTAAAAAAATGCCCGCCTGCTGTGTTTTCGCCCGGATTTCTCGCTTACCGGGCAGCGAAAATGGCAGTCGTATGGAGGATTTTCACTTAAAGGTGAGTTTTAAGCCCATAGGAATGCATTGAAGGGGTTTCAATGCATTCCTATGGGCTTTTTAAAACTGCATAGCGACGAAATCGCTTTGCAGCGATTTTTGCTGCACGGATTATCGTCGCTATGTGGGCCACCACTGTACCTTGAAAGGTAATGGGATCTGTTCTGGATTATCCCAGAGTACAGGACACATAATAATGGTCAAGCTATAAGAAGCCAGATGTAGATTGAATATCAGGAAAATCGTCTTAACTGTTAGAGCAGTATGACAATGGAACCAGTTACCTCTTGGGAGTTGGTGAGCACTCCAACACTGGAGGCATTCAAGAGGAAATATGACAAACTTCTGTCAGATCTGCTTTGACTTGGATTCCTCCATTAAGTAGGGGTTGGACTCGATGGTCTTATACACCCCCCTTCCAACTCAATTATTCTGTAATTCAGTATTAGCTGTTCCCATACAGTTTGGTTTTTCATTTGGTTTTTGCTATGCTATCATTTGGACAGTGTTTCCTAATATATTACTTCTGAGTTGATGGTTTCATTTTTTCCCAACCATGGTTATGGCTGAAAAAAGGCATTTACCTCTAAAGCCATTTACACAGCCAACGTAGTAGTGGGAGTTTTTTCCTTTTAGAAATTTGCAATTGTGACTCTGATATTTCTGTGACCTCTTCTCTGGACAACATGTTAAGTCTCCATATATATGTGCGTTCTCAAAGATAGTGGTTCCCCTTATCAGGAGAAAGGTGAACTGTGAATAAAACAAATAATAAATAAATCTACATTCACATGTTTTTAAAGTGATTCTTAAAACCTTACTGATTTTTGATGTAGTTAGGAGAACTGAATGTTCTGTCTTTATTTCTATCAAGTATTCATGGCCTTCCTAGAATTATCATTCCCTTTGCAAACAATTGAGTTTTGCATTTTAAGACCTTCTTTAGTAGAAGTCAGTTGGGATATAAACAAATCATGGCATGATTTACTAGGAATTCCTCTTGCAGCATTTCTTGAATTATAGGGAATAACAGTAATTTTAATGCTTTCCCCTGCACTGTTTCCTGCTGAAAGCCACCCACCCAATTCACCCCAGCTTTGTTGCAGTGGTTTCTTTTTGTTTTAAACCGGAGAAGAATCCAAAATCCACAGTGCAAACATATACTTAGCATCCTGTCTAGTTTGATCATCCTTGAGCAGATCAGTTAAAGCTCAGTTGAAATTCATCACGTTAAAATCTTGGTTAGCCAAAAACACATACTTCAGTCAGAATGAGATTCTGTTGAAATAGAGTAATCATTCTCTGTCTCTGTCTCATTCTCTCTCATGTACACACGTTCAGGAGTGTGCACACGTGCACACACACGCATCTGTTCTGCTGATATTGTTCTCTACTTCCCATTCTAGTTGTAACACCCTGATGTACGGGTGATCAACTTTGCCAGGAACTAGACCAAGAGACTGGTAAAATCATTGCACGTGTAAGCTCACTAGGGTAATTTTCTATTCTTCAAGAGGGTAGCTTAATTAAATCAAGCTAAAGATATGTACAGTACAGCAGGTGAAGCCTTCAGTACCATAAACAGATCAATAAACCTATTTGCCTTTGCTGACTACAAGAGATTTCTAATTACTAGGGCTCTGTACTCCCCATTTCTCTTGATGCCAGAGTAATTGAAAGGACAAGAAATCCAATTCCTGCTTGTTTGAGAGTTTGTTTCTGTTTAGTTCTACTTAACTGGACTGGTAGTGCTGACTTGCCTGTTGAGGCTGAAATTGGTAATTTATTTCCAATTGTCCTAGTTCTTTATCCAAAAATTGTAGGAGTGTTTGTGTATTGTGTGGGGAGGTTCATTATGATGTGAACCAGCATAATTTATTTTTGTACTGGCTAAAAACATATAACTTGAAGGTTGGCCCACAGTTCTCAGTTCTATTCTATATAAATCCCGGACAAAGAATTAACTTGATTGGATGTACAGTATTACAGCAGTCCTGTATAGGAAAACACTTTCAGTTTGTGGGTTTAAGGAAATTAGAAATGTCAAATTGAATACTGTACTTAAAAACACATTACTGTTGATACCCAGAATTACATGGACACTGTCAACTCATTACGTGAGAGGCCTCAGTATAACATTCTGAGCCTTGCAGATCCAGTGTTTTCCAGCCAAATTCTGCTGTGTTCCTGAGGAACAGTGTATAGGTTTGTGAGGCTGGTAAAGGTAGCTTTGTGGCATGTATTAATTAGTCTACCATGTACGGAGGGGGGAGGAAAATCCTTACATGTGGAATATTAACAAGGTGATAGTTCTGTCTGTACCTGTAAAGATTTTGAAAGATATTTTCAATTGTAGTTCTTCATGTATAGCTTGAAGTGATACAGTCTAGCACAGTATTGCCATTTGTTTCTGCTGAATGTATTGCCAGAGCAACTGATGTAGAAGTGTTTTTACATTTAAAGCAAACAATAAGCTTGCTCGCTATCAATCCAGTAATAGAAGAGGTGTTTATTAACCAAGTGATAGCAGATGCTTTCCTCACACCTCCTTATTTCTTTTTTCAGCCATGGCCCAGTGTTTCTAACCTTGCCAAGGATTTCATCGATCGTTTGCTCACAGTGGACCCAAGTGACCGGATGACAGCGCTCCAAGCCTTGAAGCACCCCTGGGTGGTTAGCATGGCAGCCTCTTCTTCCATGAAGAACCTGCACCGCTCCATCTCTCAGAACCTGCTCAAGAGGGCATCCTCTCGTTGCCAAAGCACCAAATCTGCCCAGTCCACGCGGTCCAGCCGCTCCACCAAATCCAACAAGTCCCGGAGAGTGCGGGAGCGGGAGTTGCGAGAACTGAACCTGCGTTACCAGCAGCAGTACAATGGCTGACAGCTAGGCAGGAAGCGGCCTGCTGCCCTGTTCTTTCTTTTGTTGTTGGACGTGGTCTGCACTGCGTTGTTGTAAGCGGGGTGGGGGTTGTGTCTGGCACTCAGCTGCCCTTGTTGTCCATCAGAGACCCACCTCCATCTCCACTGTTGTGAAGCAAATGGAGCTGGTATGAGGTATTTTTCCTGGGGAGGGTCACTTACAGTATCTACACCAAGATCTTAAAAATCTCTCTTGGTCCTGCTCTGGGAAAGATTCAGCACATGTTGCTTGAAATACTGGAGCCAGAGAGAATAAGAGAGACCTTGCAAACCTGAGAATCTTTGCTGCTTCTCTCTGTTTAGTGACTTGAAGCAGATGAAAGCTGCAGGATATGGTGGATGAGCAACGTGGAAGTTCAGTTCTGTATGCACTTACTTGAAAGTAAGCCTCATTGAATTCAGTTGGACTTATTTTTGAGTGGGCATGGGTACGAGTGTGCTGTTGCTCTTGATGGGCTCATTATCAAATACCATTTTGAGTGTGACTAGGGCATTTCTGGATACACAAAGAAACGGCCAACTTTCCCTGTCACCTCTAGCCTCTTGCACTGTATTAAGCTAACATTACCCAAAGCTTCTAGTAGCACTATGAAACATCAGTTTGTGGAGGCACAAGGAATCTGACAGCTTGTGTATGTCTTTGGGGATCCTGGCTAATTTGTCTTCAAAATGGTTTTCGTTTTTATTCAGTCTTACACTTCATGGCAGTTTTCCACCATCTATCTGTAAGAGAGCCATTGTTTGAGTTTGATGGGAGAAAATAAAGATTGTCAATTGTCACATCATTTGTGGCAAACTTCAATATAACTATGGCTGGAGGAATGGCTGTACCTCAATCAGAGCCTGGAAAGTTTGGACTATCTCTTCAAATCCTCTAGTAGTTAGCATAGCTGAAGGATTCATTTTCAATGACAATTCTCAGTTCTAGTTTTTAAAATGTAACAGTTCCAAAGTCTGTCCTTAACTACACAAATCTGGCTACAAATGGCTTAGGCTGGGGCTTTGTCTTTCCTTCTTATCTTCCATGTACAGTACAGTGTTCTTGTTGCTGCTGTGTGCTGTCAAGTCAAAACCAACCTATAGTGACTTAATAGGATTTTCAGTGTAAGTGAGATATTTAAAGAGTGGTTGTATCTTTCCCATCCCCACCAGAGTTTTCCATAGCTGAATGGGAATTTGAACCCAGGCTTCCTGAGTCCTAGTCTGTTACTCTGTTTACTACACAACATTGGATATGATTTACACTAGAAGGACCTTATTGCTTTTTCCCATTTAATACCAGGATGAATTCGTGCCAACCCAGTCACCATTCTGACTCAACAGAAGCACTTCTGTGTGATTCAGTACCAGAACATTGAAAGTGTTTGATGAAAATTTGGTGCCTTTTTTCCTTCTGTCCCACATCATATGTGCACATCACATCAGTGACAGTGATAGCATCAAAGGTACCTCTCTCCCATTAAAATCTTGAAAGCTTGAGTGGGTTCAGACAGATGCTGCTGCTGCAGCTGGTGCAGTGGGGTGCAGACCCTGCAGCTTATGAGTCATTAAGCCACAAAGCTTAAAGGGACCCAAAGATAATCTACACTGCGCACCCACCCTCGTCTGTGGATTAACCCACTTTTTCCTAATTTTAATGTACTGTGAGCAGATAGCCAGAGAACATATGTAGTATGACTAACACCAGAATTGTCTCTTAGAGTTGTGTACTAATTCAGAATTCAGGTTATACTAAATAATAGCAGTGCATCTCCAGAAACACTAGCCAGTCTGGTTGAAATATGCAGCCAGATGAGGTGCCATTGAAGAATTGTGTATATAGAAGAATTGACTATGTCGCTTTAGACAACAGGTGGGAGAATACCTGTGGTTTTCTTCCCAGTGGAAAAACATTTCCATGTCTCTCCTATGAGCTAGAGTTTTTTTGTTTTGTTTTTTATTTAAAGTATAATTCTTTGCAGAGAGTAGATAAAGAAATGACATTCCCCCATCTGTAGTGTGAAGCTGTACAATACATTCTGCTAATCTCTTTGTGTTGTTTGTGTAGAGAAGGCTGTAGACCTTTAGTGCCCTTTAATGCAATGGAAAACCCACCCTGCAGCCTTTCCTACATTGTCCCTGTAAGAGAAGCTTCTAAATTAATATTTTTCTGCCCAGTTCTTGTTTGGCCCTTGCTGTACATTACAGGAACCAGCTCCTTCCTTCCTTATGATGGCACATACTCTTTTAGAGAGTAACACTTTATCTGAGGGTTAATATGTTAACAGAAATCAGCTCAAGGATACCGTATCAATTACAGTAGGCTAATGGCTGTATCATTTGAGTAGTTAAATTCTGTTAAGTTTTATTAGCACTTATCAAAACTGGCCCTGTTTTACTGAAATGCCGATTCATCAGAGGTGGTAAGAACAGGAAGTGCCAGAGGTGTTTTGGGGAATAACATTGTTGCAATCAAGGTTCCCTCTAAGATGGGTGCATGTGCGTCTCTGCCTTCCTGCACACAGCTGTCTTCCATCTCCGCGTAGTGATCACGTTATGTTCCGGTCGCGAGGGAACCCTGTGCGTGGGCGGGGGGGGGACACAACACGCTGGGCCAGAGTTGGCCAAAGAGAGAGGAGGAAGCCCACCAGTGGGACTGGAAATTAGAGGGTACGTTAGTTGCAATAGATCAGTTTTTGCATGCTTCTGTGTGCATTCCTCCACTGCACAAAGAAGGACCTGGGAATGCTGCACTAACTATGACTTCGAGTTGCTTGTTGGAAAGGATCTGGTTTAGCCTTTACCTTGTTGAGGTAACAGTTCTGCCTGGGAAAGGTAGATGTAACATGCTGCTTCTGTGCCTAAGAAGATGTAAATTAATTCTGCTACAGTGGGATTAGTTTATCTCTATATTCTTCTTCTTTCTATTCCATTTTGTGATGAATCAGTTCTCAGTCCAGAGTGACATCTAGTGGTTCAAGAATTCACTCTCTTAGGAACATAAGAAGCTCTTATGCTGAGTTAGACAGTTGGTCTGTCTAGCCTACCTTTTTCAACTGACTGGCAGTGTTTCAGGCAGGATTCTTTCCTAGCCCTGCCTGGAAATCCTTAGCATTCCTCAGTGGTCTCATCTAAATGCTAAACAGATCTGACTCTGATGGTTGTTGTGGGTCATGGACTGCATGGAGAAATCCAATCTCCTGAAAAAAGGACAAAAGCTGTTTCCACAGCTATAAATACTCAACTATCCAACAAGCTGCACTAGAGCACAGACAGAGTTCTGACTCCTGTCCTCTGAAGATGCCAGCCACAGAGACTGGTGGAACATTAGGAAGAAAAACCCTCAGAACACACCAAACAGCCCAGAAAACCCGCAACAAGCATCTGATCCCATCCGTGAAAGCCTTCGCGTATACATAGACCTGACTCTGCTTAGTTTTCAAAATCACACAAGTTTGGTCAGAATTGTTTGATGGTGATAACCAGCAACCAGTGAGCTGGCCTTTATTGCTGCTTGATTTCATGCCGTGCCATTGGTTTGTTGCTTGGCATTTAGATGCACATAATTGCACATCACCAACATATACCCTCTGCTGACCTTGTAGATTCATATAATTTATCTAGTGTGGGTAGAACATTTCTCTGTCTCTTCTCTCATTTTCTTACTGTTTATTTTGGGTTGAACTCTATTTTAGAAAAGAGTTACCCTAGTATTAGTTTAGAAAGGGGTTACTCTGTTACTTGCAGGAGTCCCTGTTACCAAAGCATACAAGTTGAGGGATTTGCTGTACAGTAGGATTCCCATATCCATGGGATTGATATCCATGATTTACAATAGCCCTATATACAACATAAAAGGAGGCAGGCCTTGTGGCTTTTGTCTTACCACCTTGTACGTCGTATGTAGTGTTTGCTGCTAACCACAATTTCAGACTTGCATGATAGATTGTGGAATGGGGGTCCTATCTTATCTGAGATGGCTACCTGCAACATTACTCATTGGTGAGCCTGTTGAAGCTGAGGTCCACATGATCACTCCCAAACCCCCTCTCTGCTTCAGTGTCTCTCACTCTCCCTCCCCCCATGAGGAGATGGCTAGAGAGTTAGTGAAGGAAAGATCCATCAGAGAATAATCTAGCTGTGGTTAGGAGCTTGATCAGGAGATAATGCCAGTGCCTTAAAAGATTGCCCCCACAAAAAAGAGGGGGGCTTTTAATATTAGGATCATTGGTGGATCTCACTAACCCCTTGGTAATTTCACCAGGGGTCAGTTTGCAGCCTTTTTTAAAAACAAAAATTGAGGCCATCCAATGTGACCTGGACTCCATGGACAGTTTAGCCGATCAGATTGGGATCCTTGGTGCATTATCTCTGTCAACCCAGTTGGTTCAGTTCCAGTCTGTAACATTGGAGGAGGTGTCCGGGGCACTGGTACACTGTAGACCTGCTTCATTGCCCGAACCATGCCCATCACGGCTCCCGAAAGCTGCTGACAGCGGTTAGCATGGATTGGGCAGTAAATATCAAATGCTTCACTGAAGGAGGCTTGCTCCTCTCTTTGTGTGAAGGAAGCCATCATACGGCTGATCCTAAAATGACTGACTTTAGCAACAAATAACTTAAATAATTTTAGGCCCATTGCTAACATCACCTTCATGGGCAAATTGATCGAGTGGGTGGTGGCAGAACAGCACCATATGTACCTGGAGGAGGATTGCCAAGATCCATTCCAGTTGAGGTTGAGGCCGTGGCATGGAACTGAGACAACACTGGTCACGCTGCACAATAACCTTTTAAAGAAGCCTGACAAGTGAGGAATGACCCTGTTGTTGCTCCTTGATCTCTCAGCGATTTTTGATACCATCAGCCACGGTATCCTCCTGGACAGGTTGTTGGGGGTGTGGAGTGGAGCTCTGGCATTAAGCTGGTCCTGCCCCTTCCTTGAGGGTCACGTTCAGAGAATACAGTCTGGGGAGGAATTGTTGGTCCCATGTACCCTCAAGTATGGCGTGCCCCAAGGATTGTCGATTTCCCCAATGCTTTTTAACATCTATGTTAAACTGTTGGGAAAGGTCGTCTTGAAATTCAGAGTATGTTGCCATCAATATGATGCCTGGCCTCAATTCTGGAATGGACTAAGGTTAAGAGGTTGAAGCTGAACCTGGATGAGACAGAGTCCTCCTTCTCAGGGGCCCTGCAGACAGGTTAGGGGATTATCCCCCCAAGTTGGATGGTGTAACCTTCCCTCCTGGGGGTCAAGTGTGCAACATGGGTCTTGGAACCAGCCCTTTCATGGGTAGCCCACAACCAGGTCTGCCTTTAATCAACTGAGGATGATTACCCAGTTGTGCCCCTACCTGGATGGGGAAGCCCTGAAGATATTGCCGCATGCATAGGTTATCTCAAAGATAGAATACTGCAGTGCTCTCTATGTGGGGCTTCCCTTGAAACTGACCCAGAAGCTTCAATGGGTGCAGAATCCAGTGGACAGGTTAGTGTTGAAAACGAACAAGTTGATAACATTTCCCCAGTCCTGACAAGCCTGCCCTGGCTGCCTGTGTTGTTCTGGGACAGGTTCAAGGTTTTGGGTTTGTTCTATAAAGCCCTCTATGGTTGGGGGACCTTGCTACTTGTTGAAATGTCTTTCCCTAGGAACACGCCACCCAATCCTCTCAGGCCATGCTCTGACCAAGAGAGGCCAGGAAAACATCTACTAAAAACTGGGGTTTCTCAGTTGTGGCTCTGCCCCTGTGGAATGGACTCTCGGCAGAGCTGCACCTGACGCCTCCCCTCTCAGCCTT